CTGAGTGAGGCCTCTCAGCAGGTAGCTTATATTAAAGTATCATGAATGCAGTTGTTTGCTTAGGGTAAGAGTCTCTTACTGGAGGTTCCTATAGAAGGTGGGCAAAGCACATGAAACTATGGATTTTTTTTACTTTAATAACTTTTTATCGAACCACTTCTCCACACTCTATTGTAAAGGATCTAAACCACATATTCATAAATCACAGCTTTTGCAAAGAGCAGCCCAAGAAGTCAAAGGGGAGCAGACTGGCAATGGCAAGTGAATAAACACAAACTCCAATAATGAAATGTTGGCTTGTATATACTGGCATTTAAAGTCCATCCCATAAAATGTAATCAAGTGAACATTTGCGATATGAACACAAACCCCCAGAGAGATCCTCTATGGGAAAAAAAAAAATAATCATTACCTTCCTTCTGTATCAATTTCTTTCTCTAAAACCCAACTAAAATGTCCTAATGTGTTCTACACCAGCTGCCAAATATTGTTAACAAAAGGAATTTCTTTGTGTATTATAGTGGAGTGCCACTTTCAAGGTTTGCTTTCATTAGATGCTGCTTCCCTTACAACTTTCTACTCTGAAGTTGCTCGGGACTTATTTTAAGTTATACCTCTGTGCAGCAAAATGACTTTTATTGACCCAGCCTAGTGAACAGGATGTTGTCTTGAAAAGTGTCAGCTCTGTCTATTCTCATTTCTTGCTGACTTTGGTAACTTCAAGAAGGAAGGAGGGGAGGGACAAAGATAGTAGGAGAAGTAAGGTTTTTTTCAAATACCTTATGAGAATATTCTTAAAGAGCTGTTGGCTTGCTCAAGAGAAACATCTTACTTGAGAAACTCTCAAAAGCTAGAAAATACTGACTTCAGAATGAGTTTAAACTTAAACAGGGGAAGTTTAGATTAGATATAAGGAAGAAGTTCTTTACTGTGAGGGCAGCGAGGCACTGGAATGGGTTGCCCAAGGATGTTGTGAATGCTCCATCCCTGGCAGTGCTCAAGGTCAGGTTGGATGGAGTCTTGGGTGACATAGTTTAGTGTGTGGTGTCCCTGCCCATGGCAGGGGGGTTGGAACTAGATGATCTTCAGGTCCTTTCCAACCCTAACTATTCTATGATTCGCTCCTACATGCAATTTTCTCTCACTGATGGACTTTTCAATACCTCACACATGACTGTCTCTCTATATAGTCCTGCTGCAACACAAGATATTAACTCCAGCCTCAGTTGGGATGCACAAAGACTGGTCCTGAGGTCATTTCAGTTGTCAAATTGATGCTCAGTAAAGACCAGATATAGAAAGAGACAAAGGAAGCCACCTAGCCTCTATCCTACTGCAGGTGCATCAGGCATGGCAGGGGAGGCAAAATTAATATTTGCTAATATATCCTAGAGTGAAGCAAGCCAGCTGCACTGATGTCCTGGAGCAGCCTGGGGTTGTTATTGGTGATGCTGTCATCCCATGTGGGAAGCAGGGGGTGGGCAGTGACAGATGAGCGTTGTGAGCCCAGATGGGCTCACAGAGCAGAGAGAATGATGCACTTGCACAATCCCAAGTCTTTTCCATCTCAGGTGTTGTCTAACACAAGCTATAAACACCACTGAATTCAAGATTAGACTTCTACATCCCCATAGGTGTAGAGTGCAGAGCAGCTTCCATGTCACTGGTGTGCAAAGATAAGTCCAAATATGTTGGCAGACACTAACTGAAAATAAGCCTTTCCCACAAAGGACCAGTATGTAAACACATAAGCTGCAAGTGAGAACAAAGTCACAGGCAAGCACTGCACACAGCTCTGTTGCTTAAGGGCTAAGCCTTGCACAGGCTCTATGGGGAACAGGACGGGTTCTGAGTAGCAGCCTAACCTCCGAAAGAGCTTCCAGGCTGATAGTTCCTGAGGTGGGAGCTCTTTTGCCTGCCACTGACATCTGCCCTATAGCTCTGAGGAATTTGGCACCATGAATCTGGATGAGCCACAGGACAGAATTACCCCAACATTTACTATTCCACCATGGCACCGGTTGGTTTGTGGTCCTGGCAAAATGTGAATATACAGAGGAAAAGACTGACTTGCTTTTTGAGCAAATTCTGCTTTAGTGATGATCTGGTCTGCTGTAACCTTGCCTTATGTGTACTTCCTAAAGGTGCAGCTTCTGGAATCTTTGTCTCTTTTTAAGAACGTTTGCACTTTAAGCCTTTGTGGACAAATGTTTGTACATATGCGTTAGCACAGGAAAGCAGAACAGGTAACGAGCAGCAGTCCAGGCAACATGAGTAACTTGAGGAGCTCTCAAGAGATGAAAATGCTTGTACCTGGTTTTGTTTTTTCCAGTGTGTTGTAGAGGTTTTGCTTTCAGCCATGCTGCAGAGTTCCACCATTTACCCAAACCTCTGCCAGAAGAGGGAATTTGGACAGAAATGGCCTGTTTCAGTTTCAATGGTTTTTCAGTTCCACCAAATTACAAAGCATGTAGATTTTCATTAATTTGGTACTCTATTATATTTTATTGATTGAAACCCCCCAAAACCAAATCCTTAAACCCCAGAGAACATGGAATTAAAGTTCCACAGGTAAGGTCTGACCATGCAGGTGGCTCTAATCAGTGCTGTCAGACCAAGTCCTCCCACCAGTCCAGAGTTTTCATTTTATCCAATTTGAGAAATATGCCCACCTGCAGTGCCTTCTTTCCTTGTTTCTCCCAAAGGAGAGAGTAATTTTTGGCTTTATAGTATCAGTGCAGATTTTCCCAGAGATGTTCTGGCATTTCCTTTCCCTGCAGTCCACAACCTTGACAAGTAGGTTTGCTTTTGCAGTGTGCTGTATGTGGTACAGGAGAGCAGTATCCTTTTCAGTCTATTGACACAATAAGAGTAATCCACTCCTGCAGCATCAATGGATACCATTTACATAGTATTTTCTATAAGGGGAGGTAGTCACTTAATAGAAAACCTCTTTAGGGCAGATTTAGATTCATGTCAGTTGTCATGAAACATAATGACAAACACAAGACCATACCAGCCCTTTAAGACAGCTTGTGCTTTGCTCTTTTGGACAAGTAGGTCAGCAATTGATGAAAACCATTATGATGTTCAGTGCATGCAAGATGTTTGTGGTTGGTATCTCTAATCACACTGCAGCTGGAATAGGTTAAGACTTCCAAGAGTGTCAGCCTGGACAGGAAAACAACCTGCAGCATGCCTCGCTGGACAGGGACAAAGACATCTGCCTTGCCAGCTCAAGCACAAAGCTGGCTAAGTTAAAAGCACAAGGTGAAATCCTGAGCCCATTGAAGTTAATGGGCTATTAATTTAAATGGACTCAGGCCTTTACTTCTTAACTCATGCTCATGCATGGTTTTCATTCATATTCCCCCACTTACTGCTGTTTCTAGCTACCACGCCCTTGATTAGAAACAGCCATGTAAAACTAAGAGCTATCACAGATGAACTGTGACCCCAGAAACAGCAGGAGAGTGAAGGGCCAGGACTAGCAGTGGGCCTCTAGAAATTGAGAAATGGAACCCAGAGCCCTGACCCCAAAAGCGTAAACATTAACAAAAGGTAGGAGTAGGAAATACCCCTAGAAAAGCATCATCTTCCTAGGGGCACAATGTGGTCTTCAACATTTGTGATAGTAATCCACCACTGATAGTT